GCTGGGGGTCCCTCTGGCAGTGCTGTGGGGTTGTAGGTCATGGCTGGGGGCACCAGCAGGGCTGGGGGGGAGCCAGGGGCCCTGGCCCCACTTCAGCAGGCAGCAGCAGTGGGGGAGCTAGCTCCATGCTGATTCTGCTGCAGCTGCCTGCTGTTGGGGGCAGGGAGCTGCAGACTTGGGACCCTAGCCCCATAGCCCTAGCAAGTGAGGGCCCCCTCTGGCAGAGCTGCGGGTCAGGGGCTGTGGGTGGGGGGCCTGTTGTGGAGGCAGTGAGGAGCACCAGCAGTATTGGTGGGGATTTGGGGGCAGTGAGAGGCACCAGCAGGGCTGGGGTGTGCTGCAGGGGGCTTTTAATTTTAATAACAGATTTTGGAGGGTTTTGTCAGAGAATGTGTCATTTTTTTTATCAGAGAAAACCCTGGTGATCAGAGATATACTGTCCCACATCCAAGACAGGAAAACAAACACCATGGGTACATCTACACGTGCACTTTACTGTGGAGTTGACCTAATTAGCTCCACAGTAAAGCATAACAGTTTACATGTATACTGGTATTAGGGCACAGTAAATTAATTAACTCTGCCATGCTATCCTAGGGCAGAGTAATTTACTCCACTGAAACGCATATGTAGACTGTGACAAGGGTTGCCTGGGCACAAGGGAGCTAAAATGTGGGATCTACCTACTATCTAGTACTTTAGCACCTGTGTACCCAGCCAGCCCCTCTACTGCCCAACGCTGCCACTTGGAGCCTGGGGCTGACCCCCCAGCCCTGCTGCAAGCCCAGGGCAGCTCCACCCTAGCTCAAAATGCTGTGGGTCCCAGGCACACATGTAGATGCTGCGCCCAGGAGCAGTGGACTCCAGCACAAACTACATGGAGTTTATTTCATTGCCTTGATAGCATGTATAGAAGAATCAAGTTATAGCAAACCTAGATGTAAAAAAAGCATACGACAGAATGGATCATGATTACATGTTCAAGGTACTACGAAGAATGGAGTGCCCAGAGAAATGTGTGATGGATAAGGTTTATTGTATAGAGAAGCAGAGAGTCAAGTCCAAGTTAATGGGCACCAAACCAAAGCCTTTAAAATCCATACAGGGGTGAGACAAGGGTGCCCCCTGTCACCACTACTATTTGTGAGCAGCATGGAACCATTAGCACAAAGAATAAGAAAAGACAGTCATAAGCAGAGTAAACATACCAGGAGGGGGGGGTGAGGTAAAATGTGTATCGTACATGGATAATATAAATGTTATAGATAGACTTTCAATGGAAAGGGTGCAAAAGCACGCAGAGTATGGAGAAGTGACAGGGGCTAAACAAAACAGATTGAAAAACACAATAATGGGAGTGGGGAACTGGAGGAATTAGGAAGCTGGACATTCAAATAAAAGGGAGAGAAAAATCAGTGTGCTACAGATCCTGATGGATGCTGAAGGAAAAGATAATACAGCATGGGAAAAGCTCATGGCAAGGCTATGGCTAATACTTTGGTTATGGTCTGAAAAAGTGGAGGTGGGTAAGGCTGTGTTACTGCCAATTATTCTATATACAGGAATTGTATTCCCACTGATGTGGTGGCAGATAGCAAAAGTACAGGAGGGAAATGTGTATATTCTGGAATGCCAACAGAGAAAGGCTGGCTAGCGCTGACCTGTCTAAAGCAAGAGAGATGGCTACCAGACTTGGGACTGTTTATCTATGCAAAAAATGTAAGTGCACTATGGAAGGCAATAACGGGGAAAAGCAGCATATATCACCCGATTTCACACAGCTTCAATTTTGAGGTAATTGGGAGTACATCAGACCTCTTTTAGCTATCCATGGGTCTGGCAACTATTGATTCATTTGCAGCTTCCCGTGGTGTTTGTTAGTATGTCTGGCTCTTATGGACCTTTCAGGTCTCGCCATCCCCTTGAGAAGCGGATAGCTTGAAGTTGGCTTATTAGTCTTGGAAGGCCTTCAGGGGTTCTCTCCTGCCACGTCTGACGGAAAATAGGTTTGTTATCGGGAGTAAAGTGTTATGTCTCGCCTTTTCTGGCACCCTCCTTAACTCTGTTTGTCCGGTTTCCCCGATTCAGGGCTCTGCCTCCCCTATACCCTACTTTACGCCAACCTTAAGCTGTTATCTTCTGCACACCACTAGGGCAAGCTACGGTGGTAATCTTGTAATTAACTTTAGAACAATAGGACTTGAACCTTACTTGGCTTGGGCTCCAGGCTGTAGTGAAACTGACCTACAGTCCTTCCTGTCCCCAGGTTACCTTGTTTCCTGGTATGTTTTTACTTTCCCTGGTTGTGTATCGGCTGTGGTCTGGACTCCCAGCTCTCTTTTCCTTTGCAGGATCCCTGGTGGTCCAATCAGGTCCGGAGACACCCAGGATCCACAGCTCTGCTTCTGGTAAGTACCTTAGCCCTCGCAGGCTTGTCTCATATCCAGGTGCTCCTTCCTGGGGCAACCACCACTGCTCCTCCCCGGAGCTTTTTCCTCCTTGGGGCTCTAGTGGCCCCACCAGAAGCCTCACTTCTGGTCCCTCCTGCTCCAACTCCGTCAGAGCTTTTATTGTCTCCTTAAAGGGACAGGTGGCGAATCGGCACTGGCATGCTACCATAAAACAGGCCCATGCCGGGGCTAGAGCTGATCCTGGCTCTTCCTGGGCTCATTTTTTTTCTCCTTTTGTTGCCACAGCGTTTTCCCTTGCCACAGTTTCATTTCCACCAGACGTCCAGCTCTCTGCAGTGTCCTGCTGGCTTGGCAGCTCTCCCCTCTGTGGTATGTTTTCTCTTGGTGCATTGCCTCTACCACACATTGCATCAGAATGGAAGGATTCATGCAGAGGTATAAAATAGGGAAGATAGGGCTGGAGGTCCCGAAGGGTCATAAGAAATTGATGGAAGTAGTAAGGGGGAGAGACAGGATGGCACCCATAGGAAACTTCACAGAAAGACAAGTGAAGAATGTGTGAGAGCGGTAGTGGGTAAACAACTAAAAGGCAAACATGCTTACCTACTGTAGACGGTTGTAAGAAATATCTTGCTAGTGAGAGAAGTACAATACAGATGGGGCTTGATGAGCTTACCAAAGTGCCCAAGATAGAGGTGCAGGTAAGAAGAAACAGGGGGACATGTTTTGGGAGTCCACGTATGCAAAAAGGGCATAAGAAAGGCCTGTTGCTTTTTGAGTATCACCAAATAAATCTGTCATTAATGTGGGAGATGGTACTATATGGACTCATCAGAGGAAACATTATTAAGGATTTATTAGCATGTGTTAAAACTAGTTTATGGAAAGTAAGAAACCTTTGGGTTTAAGGGATTGGCTTTTACTGAAAGTGAAGTGCCCAAAGCTGGGGCTGCATACACTGAAATACTATATTAATCAGGAGAAGGAAAAGATTGGAGAGGAAGAGGCAGAGAAGAAGTGGAGGGAAAAGGACTGGACACATTTGTTTCACTAAACCAAGAGAGGACTACTGGGAAGGGAAGAAAGTTTCAGGTAGTTACTGAGGTAATAGTTTTTTCATGGGGTTCTGTATGAAGGAAAATATTTCTGTAAGAATATGATTTTCCTGGGAAGCTGATGCATGTTAAGGGTTTAATATATGTAGTACATAGTTATTTCTGTGCTATGAAGTCTTGGTAAAACAAGGATGTTTGATGTGTGTTGCTTTGTAAGTATAGGATAAGTGTATTTTTTAAATAAAATTTGTTTTTTTTTAAAAAAGGTTCCCATCAGCATATTTGCCCAATACGGCATGTTTTATGGTCACGCTCAGTGTTGGCTGCATTTAATCAATTTCATAATTGGTTTCCATTGCTGAGCACATGCTGCTTTTGGCAGCAGTTTAATGACAGACAATGTATTTAGTGAGATTTCCTTGTATGTGACTGATAATAAGATGTGGGGCTTTCCCTGCCCCATTACAATTGGGAGGGAAAACTTGTTTTGTATTTGAGTAAATATGGTAATTCTCAGAACTCTCATGTACAATTATGAAGCTACCTTCCCTGGACCATTGCTCATATATACTCCTTGGGCTCTAGGCACAGAGTTAATGTTGCATTAGGGTAGCAGGATGTACTTAAAATTCTGAAAAGCAGGATGTTAAATGACAAAGATCTGTTTCACCTTAATTCTCCATGGTTTCCTGGTTTTCAAAGTTTTGAAAGCCATTGACTTCAACAGTCTTGAAGGTCACAAGACACCATGAGGCCAGCTTAGCTTCGTGTTAAAATTTCTGCTGTTCATTTTTACTGCTGTGCATCAGCAATGTGAGTGGCCTGTTTTTTTGTTGTTGTTTTTTTTAAAACAATGCCCATTGTTCATTTCCAGAAAGGTACTTAACATTTTAGCCTTTTCACAGGCTTCAAAAATCACTGATCATTAAACACCTCTTTAATGGACAGCATTTTTGGGTACAAATGATAATAACAAAACACAAATGTAACATAACTATTATAAATATTATAAGGTGTAATTACTATTATAAAATAATTCACCTAATATTTTTTTTGAGTCATGTAAGTCAGTACTATGTAACAACTGAGGTTGTACATGTACATGAATCATATTACAACAATCTGTGAGGAATAAAATTAATTTTCAGATTTCACTTTGTAATACCAGATTACAGATCACACTTATTGTCCAAAACTGCTAAATAGAATACAATATGGCACTATATGCAGACTTACCAGATGAATCATCAGTGGATTTCAGCATCATTAAAACTTTTACAAAATATTTGTCAGAACATTTTTAAAGGAATATATTTTGTGAATTATATTTAAGCACTTACACAGGTCAGATTCAACGTCTTCCTAAATGATTTATTTTAAATTAGAAGTAAATAACATAAAATGACATTCCCCCCCCACCCCACCAACTAACTATAAGTCTACAAAGATCTCACTTCATTTACAATTTTATTTCATATCTTAAATTCTCAGATCAAAGGGTAGAGAATTTATATATGCTTGCAACAGCACTTACTTTGATGATTCTTGTTCAGGTGACCTGTTAAAAAGCAAAGCAAGCATAAGGCAAACATCCATAGGAGAGACCAAACAGATATATTATAACTGTAACCAAAGAAAGTAACTTCAAAACCAGTATTTTATTCATAAGCTATTTAAAGATGACTTAATTCTACACACTAAATACACCTTGAACCAGAAACAAGAACTTGTAGAACACCGAAAACGCTGAAACTAGCTCCAGCATTTCATTTCCCTTCTGGCACAAGTCCAACTAATGAGAACACTGCAACCATAAACTATGCCAATACATGACAGTGTCAAAATACAGACAGTTTAACAAAATTCTGACATGCCCCACAAACACTGCAGGCACAAGTGTAATGTAGCAGGTGGAAACAAGAAGAATCAGAACCATGTCACCAGGCAGTTCTCTGCAAATTGTCTACTGTTCCACAAATTACTGCTGGTCCACAAGACCACAGTTTAGGAACCAGCAAGCTCAGAGAGCTAAAAAGATTTGGAATGAGCTCTTAAACATGTATAAATTTGGAATACTTAAAAGTAGTTGGATGCCTCCGAATATCTGGAAGAATTTTTCCTGCTGTAGGGTTTCTCCTGTGATCTGGCTATATGCATATATTCATTTATATAGTACTACAAAATAGAGTATTATGAGGGCATACACAAATCCAGAAGGTGTACACCCCACCTAAAGTGCTACTAAGTCCCAGCAAAGACATGCTATCCAGCCAGGGCACACCAGGAGGCTGCTCTTAAGCTCCTGTCGGTGAGCCCAACAGGCTTGTTTGATCAGCTCTGACTGCCAGGACTGCTATGCTTCCTTTGGAAATGAGGAAGGGGAGTAGAGTACTCTGGAAGACCCTCTGTAGGTATACAAGTACAAGTCAACAGGTTACAAGTAGTGCCACAAAAGATTTGAAACTTGTGGCAGATCTGCCATATTTCTAGAGCTAGAAACAGCCTGAACTTCCAGTAGTGCTACAAAGACATATACAGTGCTACAAAAGGAACATATGCACCTAACCTTATAAGCCTTTTTTTCTTTTTGTTAAATATTTACGTCTGACTCTTCAAAATATGAACACAGCATAACTCAATAGGAGTTAACCATTTGAATCTGCAGTTAGCCTGAAACAACAGTTCTCAGAAGTTTACCTCATTCACTTCAATACTGTTCTTAGTAACTTATCTCAAACCTTTAACCAAACATTTAATAACTATTTAAACATAAACAGCGTCAATTATCTTACTACTGACCACTAAAACTTGGTGTGTCCTTATCCTGTGATCCTTCCTAGAATGAGGATGTTACAGCTTTACTCAAGAAAAACTTTACCATCTACACCTTTTGAGGACAAAATCCTGCATAACAGGGAAAATTTAAAACTTTGGAAAACAAAACGAAGAAATTCCATACGATTTATTTTTAGATTTAATTCAGTAAAATGGATATTTCTTAAAAATACAACAAAAACAAAACCCATTTCTAGAACTGCTGCTATAAAATCTTCTGTTGGTTGCAGCAGATAGAGATGGAATCCGTGGGCACTGACACGTGGGAGGAAAAAAGCAAAAAAACCCCAGAGCTTTACTGGAAGAGGCATCACTTTGGTTTGACCCAGCATCTATATAGATCATGTGCTTCAGCA